TTGCACGTGCGGAAACCACGCCAGTCGAAAGGCACTCGCACGACGCTAGTATTCGTCTGAAGAGGGGCGAGGAGGAGCGGGGGCGGGAGCGAACGCCATGCAAGTAAACTTGCTCGAATGAGAAAAAAAACAAGCTCCTCTTGGCGTGCCGCTCCGAAGCGTGGTGGGCCGGCGGAGCGACACGCGGAGCAAACGTGCGCGGCCGCATAGGTCGCCCGACCTCGCGCCTCGCGACAAGCGCGCGGGGCGCCCATCGCGGCCTCGCGAGGCCACTTCTCGGAGGGGGGCGCCTCTCCAGCCCAAGCCGCGAGGCGCGAGGCGCGATGACCTTCGCGCCCTTGGTGGGCACGGCCGACATGGATACGGGAAGCAGATGGGCACGTTGCCCAGCAGCAATTCCAATTCATTCTGAACGGGGCGCGCTGTCCATGCCGCCTCTGGCCTTGTCCATTGGAGCCAGAAGGCCGCCTGCCCAGCAGCGGCCGCTGTGGTTTTGGGACCGTATTTGCTGTTGTAGGGAGCCGAACTCTGTATACCAACGCATTTTCGGGCCCTACGTTGAAACTCTCACGAGAAAGCGGATCCTGGTTTATATGGGGTCCTGAGGGTCCTGGTGTATACATTTTTCGTTGCTTCCCTGGGGAACCGGGGAGAAAGTATACACCACACCATCCCGACGTCGTCCCCGACCCACAAAAAGTCCTGGGATTGGAAGAGAGCCCCCACCACTGGTAATGTCGGGCATCGTACCCATTGTTTCCGTACCCATCTCACGTCCAAACCCGGGGGCGACCCGGAGGATTGGCACGAGCGGCGCCCCAGCCTGTGCCGCGCGGGCGCCGCAGGAGGCCCAGACCGACACCCAGCGGCGCCCAGCGAAACCGTCCAGCAGCATGCGGCGGCTCCCGCGCGGAGCTCTGGGCGCGACGCCTGTCGTCCCCCGCCTCCGCAGCCGCTCTGCACTTGGCTGGTCTTCCTGGTATACCGTTCGCCTGGCTGCGGCCCGACAGGTAGACGAACGCACCGTGGTCCGTTCACGTCGCTGCAGCAACGAAACCGAGCGACGAAACGAACCCGGGTCTTACGCGCGATGGCATCGCGACCTTACGCCGCGGGTTGGCTGCGCGGGCCGCCAGAGCGGCACACCGCGCGGAGGAGGGGACGCTGACGCGCGACCTTGCGCGGGAAGCGTGCGCGCGGCTGTCGGCACAGGCGGCCCCATTGGTCTGGATCGCTCCGATGGTGCTCGTGCCTCCTGCGTGTGTCGGGGTCTCCCTCGGCCCCTCGGCGCCGTGCCTGGACGCCTGCTCGCCCACCAGCTTGGCCATCGAGATCTCGTGCAGGTCGAGCTTCGCAGAGGGGTCGCCGTCGTCGGGCATGACGTAGTTGTCGGGCCGCTTGACGGTGATCTGATGCCGGGGAGGGGGGGGGCTGCACGGCAACACCCGCGCAACGTGGAAGCCAACCCCATGTGAGGTCGAAGCCCATCGGCGAAGGGTGGGAGAGGGGTGAGGGTGCGGGAGCGGGGCGCGGCCAGCGAAAGCGGCCAAGGATGGGCCGAAAGGGGAAAATGCAAGGGCTTGGGAAATTGCTCATCCTTTCTGTGCGGGTTGACTGTAGTCCCCGGGTCGGCGTGTGAGCCTGCAGGGGAGGAGAAGGAGGAGAAGGACGAAGAGAGGCAGGAGAGAACGAGAACGAAGAGAAGGAGGAGGAGGAGGAGGAGGAGGAGGAGGAGGAGGAGGAGGAGGAGGAGGAGGAGGGGGGCTGAGGCACGGTGGGCGGATCGAGCAAACCCACATTTGAGCGCAGCGAAATCCGCAGCATCCGCCCACTGCCCCTCTAACTTCCGCGCTCCTCTCCTGCCCCCGCCCCCTGCAGCACCCCTCCCCCCCCAAGCCCCCATCCCGACACAGTGCCCCCCCAAAGCGGCACGCCTCCTCGTCCGGGAGGCACTCCCCCCTTCAGCGGGCACATACGACAAGACCTCTTGGCATACGAGATCTTCAGTCACACTCGTCATCGGGCGTCTTGCTCCCTCAGGCGCCTCAAGGCCTCAATGGGCTCCCAGGGCCATCGGGGGATAAGACAACTTTCGTGGGGCACCTGCTGAGAAGCCGGTTTCTTATTTGACGTGCCTACTGTAAGACGCACGAGACTGAACGCATCCGCACGGCGGGTCATGTATCCGTTGGGAGTGCTATCGAGCGGGACCATCCATCCGACCGACCCTCGAGAACCCCTTTTTCATGAGCCAAGCATCAAGCTTGCACTGCCCCCCCCCCTTCGATTACGCTGGCCATCGACCCACAAGTGACATTGTCAAAGAGCGGCTGGATGTGTGTTAAGGTAAGGTGTGGCGGTGGGAGCTCTTCATGAACAGTGCAAAGGAAGACAGCGAAGAGGGGCACGCGAGCGCAAGCCTTATAGCCCTTGTAATCGATTCCAGACAACTTCATGCCAACTGATGCGCCGTCAACCTGTCAAATCAAAGGGTATGCAAACGCCGGAATAAACTGAAAGCAGGGACACATGAATGTCCGACACGTCCTTACAAACGTTACTACATGGACAAACAATCGACAACATCTACTTGCTAGGACGGCACATGCGTGTATGAACAACGACGGCCCCTGCACACATTCAACCGTTGTCTGACATCGTGCCCTCTTGGAACCAATACGCAACCATTGATTCCTCACGATCTGCAGCGCACTGCCAGGGCAGTGCGACTCACACAGAGCTCTCAACCCTCACACTCGATGCACATCCATCGAAATCTCCATACAGATGGTCGGTGCGGTTTATCACGTGGGTGCGTCAGGGGTCGCTAGTCAGCATGTGCTCGGCAAGATGGAAGTCGTCGAGCCACCGAGCCCAAGGCTTCCTAGACTCACAACCACGACAGACACAGCTTATACTTCTGGGCACTGTCGCATCTGCAGCTGCAACGGCCTTCTACTTGACCCAATGTGGACAACAGGGGTCCCACTGATGATGCCCCCAAACAGCCATGCTGCCATACTGCCGCCCCCCGCAAACATAAAACGAGATATCGTATGACATGATCGAAGGCCCTCCTATGTACGACACACTCCTGGAGTGCAATCTCGCAAAAGAAAAGAGCGCGATGATCACGTGCTGCAACAAGAGCAAGGTCGCGCCAGAACTCTATTACTTGGCCTCCTGCTCTGCGGAAACAGGTGCCGCGTACAGAATCCATCTTCACTGTCTGGAGAAGGCTGAAGCTCGCCACTCATGTCGGAGAACATCCCATCGTGGGCTTCAACAACTTCGTTCCGTGCGGCCGAGCTCACCAGCAGAAGTAGTTCACTCACCGTCGCGGGGAGGGGCGAAAAGAACACTCCCTGGGGCCCCGGGGCAGCGGGACCCCCGCGTCCTCCCGACGAGGTGGCTTCTCACCGCGCAAGCCGCAACTTCTGCGTCGGCGGCGCTGGCGGTGGCAAGCGCCCCTACCAAGGGGGGCGGGCCCCGCGGGACACCGGGCACCCTGCAGCGGACGGAAGCGCAGGCCGCAGCACAGCGAGAGCGGGGCGAAGGCCGCGCAGGGCCCCGGAACGCCGCGCGGGCAGAGCCGTCAGAATCGGACCCAAGCAGACCGTCCCGCGGCGTCGTCGTCGTTGCCGCCGTAGTCTCCTTTGTCGTCGCATTCGTGGCCGGAGTCATGGCGTCGTGTCTCGTCGTCCTTGCTGCCGTCGCCACTGCCCGAGGGGCACACAGACTATCATCGCCTCAGCGCGCGCTGCTGGCGGCGGCGTTTTGGATTGGGGTACACGCGGGCAGCCTCTTGGGACGGGGCCCTCTCGGCCCTTTCTTCGGACGAAGGCGGGATGAAGACTATTAAGTTCGGATGCCGACGATCCAGGGATCTATGAGAGCTGGCGGGTCTGGAGGATGTATCGGGCGCCGCGGCCTTTTGCACAGTGCTCTGGAACGCCCGGAGAGCGTTCCAGAACGCCCTGGAGCGATCCGTCTTCGTCCAGGCACGCCTCTGCTTCCTGCTCCGCGCATGCCTCTACGCCCGATCTCCCGATGGCCCTGGCGCGGGCCCGACGGGCTGCGTGCTGCCATGCGATGCGGGGGGCGCCCTCTGTGCCCACACCGCCCCCGATGCCGTGGTTGCTGGGCGGCGCAAGCCCCGGGGCTCTCTGTGACTCCATCGCTGCGGGGCGGGCCCCTCGCCGCGGGCCCTTCTTCTTCCTGCGGGTCCCCCCGGGCCCGTACGCGGAACGAGTCAACGTCGACGACGACGACGACAACGCCGACGACGATGACGACGACGGAGGCGCGGCGGCTACGACGACCGACGGCCTGGAACAGCGGAGGAGGAGGAGGAGGAGGAGGAGGAGGAGGAGGAGGAGGAGGAGGAGGAGGAGGAGGGAGGAGAAGGGGAGGAGGAGGAGGAGGAGGAGGAGGAGGAGGAGGAGGCGATCGTCGACGATCCAGGCTCCCACCGCTGTTCCGGGCTCGGGCTCCAGGCTCCCGCCGCCGTCGGGCCCGCAGCGCGGCGGGTCCTACACGTCCCTCCTCCTCGGCACCAGCCGGCCTCTCTCCTCCTCTATCCTCCGCCCTCCCTCCTGAACCTCCTCCCGCCCCCCTCATT